ATAGCTAGTGCAAGTAGCCCTCGAGTAGCTTTGCGTAAAATTGAAAACGAAACAAAACAAAGAAACTTTTTGCCCAAGGCTATAAAATGGGCCACAAATGCTTTGTCTACTACGGGAAAACGCTGATCCACCAAGGAACTAAAAAGGTGATCGCTGTTGAAAGTGAAATTATTTACATGATTACGATTTGGCGAAATAGCTATAAAACTACAAAAGTATTATATAAATTGTTATTTGTATAAAACTGTATGCATTCTGAATGTTATATACAAAGTATATGTTAGATTTTTTTTACTCTTGAATATCAAGTATTACGTGCAGGTTCATTCAAAATTGTTTGTATGTTACTCTTAAACAAACACTGTCAGTTAAAAATTAGATTTTGAGTCGGTACTTGTTTCTTTGTTATTGTATATAACGTTTGTATGTTTGGAATTAAGCACAAAGCTACACAATGGGCTATCTGTGCTCTGCCCACCATGGGTATCGAAACCCGGTTTCTAGTGTTGTAAGTCCACAGACATACCGCTGTGCCAGGGGGCTATACACAGCGTATCAAGCTTCACATATATATATATTGTCTTTGTATCTATCCATACTATTGCAAAAAATTATTTACAGTAAATTATTGAAAAATCAACAGTTAATATACAATGCACTGCGAGACTTTTAGTCGAGAAAACAACTGCAAATACATAAGGTGTTGGACGAGATGATTTGATGGGGTGAAATTACACTGTTTAAGTCAATAATGTGGCCAGTTGAGGAGTGAATGACTATTGTCATCCCTTGATGATGAGTATTGTTATAATGTTTTACCTAATCTCATCTAGTACTTCAAAGACTCAAAAAATAATAAAAAATATAACTGAATAATCGAGAAATACTGTCTTTGTACTTCACAGTATTACCTCAAGCTATTTTGGAAGCGTGTTTTGTTAAACAGCTTTGCGTGTTAAGCTATGACATTTGTAAGGCGTTTCTGTTGCATGACATTTGGAATCCTAGCAATATTATAATACATGTAAACAATCTACTCCCAGTGATATTGGCATTCGGTTTTATTTTGATCATACTTAAGAAATTTTAATCTTATTTTGCATAACCGCAAAGTTATAAACCATTTTTGCTATTCAAAAACTATTATAGAATAAAAAGTTATATAATCTTTCTCTAACCACCACATATTACTATGAAGATTTTTTGTAATTTTAAAATAATATATTTTTAAAATCAATGCAACAAAAATGCCCATTTGCCATACTGAAGTGTGAAAATAGCTGTTAAAGAACAAAGAAAAAAATCGTCTTTTATATTTCAAAATATATCAAAATAGTTCTTTCTTGAACAACCAAGTAATAAATGCATCTTTTTGTAATACTGATGTAAAATAGCTGTATCTATAATTAAAAAACAATGTGATTTTGACTGTCGAAGGGCGTAACAAACCAATTAAATACGTGATCTAAAAATGCTGTTACATTAGCAAAACACTGCAGTCGCTGACCAGATTAACTACTGTGACATTTTAAAATCAAAATATGAAATTTAATTGTAACTCCATTACTTGTAATTATTTTTACGTAGAAACTTTTCTTGTAGATGTATATATCAAGCCACTAACAGTAAATTGATAAAGCTTGGTATTTGACAAAACAAGGCAGCCTTGCCAAATGTGGTACGAGAAAAAAGGATGGATGTAAAATATCCTTGTGATTATAATTTCGTTCTTCACTCAACACTATACTATCGTAACCATACTATAAATATACACCGTAATGTACGAAAAAGGTTTAAAAGCTTTCATTTGTTTGTTTTGGTGTAAAGCACAAAGCTACACAATGGGCTGTTTGTGCTGTTCCCATCGTAAGTATCGAAACCCGGTTTTTAGCGTCATAAGCCTTCAGATGTACCGCTGAACCACTGAGGAGCGGGTTTAGCAGCACGGTTGTAGTTTTATTATACTTCATCAAGGCTTTGTCAGTTTATATAGTCATATGATTTTGTCACATGGTAGATTTATTTATTTAATTGAAACGTGCAAAATAATTATAATTTTAGTAACTTTTATAGGACTTCTCGTTGCACGATTTTTTGAGCTGTAGTCAAAAACTATCATGACTATTAAACAAATATAAAGAAATGTGTCTGACGTCAAAAACTAAATGAAGATACTTGTCTTGTAAATTCGTATCGAATTTTTGGACTTTTTTTTATCTGTTTGATACACACATTTCTGTGCATTCTATATGTCTGAATTCACTGTAACTGAGAAGACATTGTACTTAAAAACGATTGATATGTATTTGATACGATATTAAAGACCTTAGTTTACATAAAAATCACTCACGTTTATAACTCATTCATCTTGCACACGTCTTTTATTTCTTCAATAACTTGCATACGTTTTGAACAAACTTTTGAAGTTAGATAGGAACATAGGCGTGGCAGGAACACACGTTTTTGCCTTCCTAACTCACGACCGTGCTGACATAAAAAAAAAGTTTGTGAACAAACTTTGACAGTTTAAAAATCTTTCATACATCTGCTTTTTCTTAATTACATAATTTTTGTTCTCTGTTTGAACAGCTAAAGATCTTCCCGGCATGCGGTGTTTCCGCATCAAAAATTTTCTTCCGACGTGCCGTGGAATTTTATCCTTCGTGACGTTGGAATAGGATGCTCCGAAATTTGCACGTGACCACACCTCTGAAAGCTATTATGTTGGGCGTTGTCTGTTTGGTCCTAGGCTATAGCTCCACATTCCCATTAAACCATCTTCCCCCTCCTCGTCCCACCCCAGTTCAATATCTCAAGAGATTGGGGCGTTGACCAGTGCCTAGGAAAGCAGCATGTAAATTTTTTAATGAATGGATTTAATCGATAATGGTCATTATAAGGACGCTTCCTGTCAAAGCAAATCCCGCATGCTCACTCGTTGGACGCACAATGATTTTCTCAACTATTGTAGTGGACTGTCGCTCAGTTGTTGAGTGTGATAAATTACGAAGCATAATGATCTTCTTTCATTGTTCCTGATCCGAATTCTAATGAAATCTTTTCGACGAGCTATAACTGTATTTAACTAAAGGCCTTCATGACCTACGTAACTGATCAGTTTACTATTGGAATGATTTATTAACCCAAACGCCACCCAGTCGTCCAATGGGTATTAAGAAGCGGGTAATATTACATACATATACTTATCTAGTTATTCACAATAGATACGTATCGATAATTGTATTATAATACGCAGAAATAAAGAGTGAAGTAACCGTTACAACCTGCCGATCTTAAAGCATATAAATTAACATTGTCAGACAGTGAGTATTGGAGTTGGGTTATTTAGTTTTTCAAATTTAGCGTAAAACCACACATGGGCTAACTACGCCAGCTGTTCATATCTTCAAGTGGTTGACTGAAGGAAAAGTAGCTAATGAATACCACCCACCGCTAACTCATAAACTATAGATTTTTGTCAGACTGAATTGTGGGATTTAACTGCCATTCTTATAACGCACTAACGATGATAAAGTGCGAAGCGCGATTTTATATATATATATATATATATTGTGTGTGTGGTGACAGGACGTGACCCTAAAATCCACAGTCCAGCACATTGATCTCATGGCCAAGAGAATATTTAAGAAATGAATTATTTCATTTAAATCTACCAATATCTAACTAAACGCAAAAACGTTATTTTATTGTTGTCAGTGTCATAATAACGGTCAAAGTATGTAATTGGATATTTTAAATTTTGATTCAGTTAGTTGTATATAGAGTTGAACCTCGGTTGAGATCAAAAGTACGATTGATAATTACGGATGTTATTCTGACTGCCTTTATAATTATTTATGTCCTTATGACTACCTTTACTATATGTTATAATAATCATCAATGTCCTTCTGACTGACTTTATCATATTACTTTGTATAATTATTGATATCGTGCTGAATGATATTACCGCAGCGTTAATTATATTCGGCTTTCAAAAAATACGAAAATGTGTCCGTATGTCCGTCGTTATCAGCGGACATGGATCATTTTAGGCAGGACAATGAGCAATAATATTCCACATACGTCCACCAATTTTCATCAAAATCCGATCATTTTTGACGGAGTTTTAGAGCAAAAATAGTGTGAAAAATCGAGCCCCCATGTTAACAGATAAGGACTTTTTTATTTTCGTGACCTTGCTGTGATATTGACCTTTTACCTTGACCCTCCGAAAACTAATTTGGATCATAGTCCAAATGTGTACCAACTTTTGTTCAAATCCATTCAGCAGTTTTCGAGAAATCTTTTTGACGCACACAGGTGAAAACATAACCTCCGTCCACCTTCGGTGGCGGAGGTAATTATTGATGTCGTGCTGACTGCCTTTATAATATTACTTTGTATAATTATTGATGGCCTTCTGACTACCTTTATAATATGACTTTGTATAATTATTGATGGCCTTCTGACTACCTTTATAATATGATTTTGTATAATTATTGATGTCATGCTGACTGCCTTTATAATATTACTTTGTATAATTATTGATGGCCTTCTAGCTACCTTTATAATATGACTTTGTATAATTATTGATGTCGTGCTGACTGCCTTTATAATATTACTTTGTATAATTATTGATGGCCTTCTAGCTACCTTTATAATATGACTTTGTATAATTATTGATGTCGTGCTGACTACCTTTATAATATGACTTTGTATAATTATTGATGGCCTTCTGACTGCCTTTATAATATTACTTTGTATAATTATTGATGGCCTTCTGACTACCTTTATAATATGACTTTGTATAATTATTGATGGCCTTCTAGCTACCTTTATAATATGACTTTGTGTAATTATTGATGTCGTGCTGACTGCCTTTATAATATTACTTTGTATAATTATTGATGGCCTTCTGACTACCTTTATGATATGACTTTCTACAATTATTGATGTCGTGCTGACTGCGTTTATATTATTACTTTCTTTATCACGAGTAGCACTTATTTAATATTGCTATTTGTTTTACAGAGACGGAAAGGAAGATACGTGCAAATGACCCGGAGTACAATGCACAATTTATCTATGCTGTAAGTATTATTTTATGTTGAGGTTAAAACTGTTTTATTTTGTTCATAACAGAAAGCAAAATACAAGTATTTAGAAGCGTTCACAGAAGAATAATGTACGGGGGAAACATTAAACTGTATGATATATCACAGTGTATATGTCTATCTCTCTTTGTCCCTCTACATGTGTAAATGCTTTCTTTTTTATTACTTTATTGAATTTCTATCAGAGAGAGAGAGAAAGGGAATTTAAACAAAAACAACTATAAAAGTATATAACAGTTATATATCTTTAATGAAACACATGTCATAGTGCTGGCACTGTAAAATGTTCACTGGTAAAAGATATATCTGCAAAAGTAGGAGCAATACAGTGGTAGAGATAACCCATTTATCTTAGATTTTCATTGTAGGTCTTAAGAAGAAAGTTAAATATTAACGGGTAGCAGGTGTGGATATTACAGCAAACATACCCCCTCCCCAAGAAATTCACCAATTTGGGAAAGTGATAGCTCGTAAAAAGAACTAAAGAAGATTAAAATAGTGTAGATTATGTCAGGAATGAAAACATATATTTTCTAATCCTTCATAATGGTTGGAACGATCTGGATACTAACGGCAACTAGTTAGATCTTCAAAGACGAAATTTTTAACATGTAGTTAGTTCTACGTAAATAATATAAATCTCTTAAACGGTATGCCCCCACTATTGTGTGGGACATAATTTATAGTGATATAATTTGTATTACTTCCTTTGTAGTTTGTGCCTTGCTTTTAATTACTGCCTGTGTGTGAAGTTTTTCGTTTTGAAACAATAATGCAAATAATAGATATTTACGGGAATATGTTGTTTATTTGTTTTGTGTCGTAGTGTTTCTAGTTCAACGCGATTATTAATAAGTTTCCATTACTTTTAAAAATAATTTCCACTTCAATATTATGTACTTAACGCCACTATGAAAGTGCAAATGTAAAGAGTACTGTGACGGCACCTCCTAATTCTTGCTTAAAAACAATTGCTGTGGGATAAAGATAGCTCATATGAACACAGTTTCATATGTTCATTCATTTTATATTAAAAATAATAGATTGTTTTTTATATAAATTTAACGTAGTAGAGTATATAAATGGTTTCTTTATCTGTTTTGTGTGTTTTTTTAATCTGAGCTTGAGGATCATTACCATATTTACTTTAGTTCGTACCACACTTAACAACCTTCTCTTACATTCCAATAATCATCCTCCTTAATGGATCCCTCATGTAAACAAATATTTGCTCTTTAGTTCCAGGTTAACAACATATTACAAAACTGGTGTGACTCGGATGTTCTCTTTTCTTTGGAACTAACGAAGGTTTTTATTCTTATAGATTATATATCTTCTCTAGATAGTTACAAAACCTTCTTGACATTGATATTATCTGTTTATTTGTAATTTCTTTTTTTGTCGAAATAGTAGGGCCGGGTATGATCCTCAATTTGTCACTGAACGTGCCTCACTTTCAGCTGTGGAGGCGTTATAAGTGTAACGGCCAATCCCGCTGTCGGTTAAAAGTGGTCGCATAGACGTTGAGTGCTGCTGATTGTTTGCTTTCCCTCTGCTTACCAGTTCTAATTTAGGAATGACTGTGCCTGAACCGTGACCTGGCTTGTCTAGTCAATGTGTCGCTTAAGGTGCCATTCAGTTTGAAAATACCAAATACCTCGATATATCTCGGAGGTTGATATGGCTCCATTGAAAGATGTGTGCAAAAAAAGTGTATTTAGTAAAAAAAGGAAGAAAAGGGCATCCCATTGCCTCTTTATTGGTGTACAGTACGGTTTAACGTTCCCTAAAATCAGTCTTCATTCCTAGATTTGGAATTTTCAACCAGAATGACACCTTGAGCGCACAAGGGCTTAATGACTAGATGAGAGACCTTTATATAATTTGGGTGTAGCTGTCCCCAGTTTCAAACTGCTGAGCAGAGGGAAGGCAACAAATAACACCCTCTGCCATAAGGGCTTTGTACTGCTCTTTGAACCAAATACCGAGTTTGAGTGTAATTTGTACAACGCATAACTGAAACGGCAGTGCGTGTTCGGCGGTATCACATCTCAAACGTTAGACCTTTCGATCCGCATCCCGACGCACCAACCCTACACCACGCCCGACCCAACATTCATGGATGATGGTATTTTGTAAAAGTGAAATAAATAAATCGAAGAGCTTAAATACCACATTTATTTGTGAAATATGAATGAAGTAAAACAGCCTTTAAAATCTCAAAAGTTCCATGGATGTTGGGGCAAGATTTATAGCCTAAATGTTTCATTGTTTTATATAATCTCCTTTAACGTATCTGTGGTTCATTTCATAACTAGTTTATGAACATACTAATCGCATGCGTTCGGACTTTATAAATAGTTACTGTGGTAAATTTAGGACTAATATAGATAATATTTACCAAACTTCCTACCATGGAGATACTTAGAAAATACATAAAAAGTAATTAAAAACAGACAATTATATACACTATTTATAAGGTATATTAGATTTAATATGTACTTTTTGTCGAATTTTACAGTTGGTTGCTGTTAGAGAGTCAGTTTGTGGCTCTTAGTGATTATAACCATGCTCTGATTGTTTGTTACTGTAGTAAGCGGAATGTTTATATAAAACCATAGCAACAATGAAGTCGACATACTGAAACACTTCTCTGTTCCTAGGACACCTCTAAACAGATCAATATTCTCTTTCATCGCCTTTTTGTTTTGCATTGGTCGTGTACATTACATGCAGCTTTTACATATTCGTTTACATGCTTTTAAGTACTTTCCAATATATAGCGTATTTTTTCTGAATTTGACCTTTATAACACACACAAATCGTTATAATAATTTTATATATCTATTTTTTCGAGTTGTAAATATAATTTCAAAGCAACAAACTCTGTTATGACGAAGATGAAATAACGTATTATTAATTGCAATTTAATACTTAACGCTTATCATTTCATGTTATAGATTATTGTTTCGAATTGGGACGTTTAGTCTGGCAGTTACCCTACAGAGGACAAAAATGGCCATTATGTTAAAAAGCAGTTACTCTTATAAAATGCATAAACGAAGAATTGGAGATGAATTTATATTTTTTCTTTTTCAGCTATTATGTCATAGTGAAACACAAACACATTTCTTGCAAATAAATTGAACTGTTTTTAGATTTTATTTGCAATTTTTAAAGGTCATGCTGGAATGAAAAAAAACTATTGCCTTTTACAAGCGGGCGAAGAATAATTACAACTTTACTTATCAGACAGTAGTATTAGGCCTATTACATTTTTTTGAATAGTACATTCTTAATTTAGTCCCAAAGGGATTTTCAAGAATTAGAAGAGTGTATAATAATAGTATTACAACCAGACTAAACATATTAAATGCAACATATTGAAAATCCCTAATGGACTATATTAGGAATGTAGTGTTTACAAATGGAATAAGCCTAATATTAATGTCTTATGACGAGTAAAATGGGAATAAGAACAAGGTAACTTAACTGTTATACCGTTATGCATCCTTTTTCTATCCTGTCTATTAGAGACAGCTATACCTGAACTCAAAGGAGTTCGTGACATGAACGTCCAGATGGGTGTCATTCAGATTAAAAATTTAAATTCAAAATTAAGTGTTTGATTTATTGTACTCTTTTTTTTTTTGTCGTTTATATGTTATTGCCAAAGTTTCGCAATCAGAGCACTTCTAAACATTCTAAGTTACCTCTTTGAAGTCTTAAACCACAGACATTTGCCCTGACACCTGTAATACACTATACATTTATTTCATGGTCTCCAGAATTGTTAAAGCCCTAAAAAGAGATACGTCACATTTATCATTTGTTACATGGCTTTAGAAGCTTAAATGTGTTGACATTAAATGCGGTTTTAATATTAAGTAATTGAAAACCCATACTGTTATAAAATACCTTATTAAGCTCGACTCTTAACTTTTCTGTAAACAATGCTGATCAAGAGTTCAACTAGTTAAGCTAGTCAGTGATGATTTCACAAGGTGAATGGACTTATGGGGGAGTTACCGTGGACTGATTGGTGTGTTATATATTTGATAGTATTGTGAGTTATGAAGATCTACTTAGGTGTTTTGTGTGTATGTATACTGTACCTCACAAAGACGAAACAGACTGACTGGTCTTTTGTGTATGTTCGCTGTACCTCACGAAAACCTAATGGAATAACTGGACTCGTGTGTATGTATATACTATGTCATGAAATCTGTTGGAATTTTGTGTATGTATACCACACGACAAGAAGTTCTGGTGAGATGACTGGACTTGTGTCTTTTATACTACATATTATGTTAAAGTGGAATGACTGGACTTTTGGGTATGTATGCTGCACATCATGAAGACCTGATGGAGTGACTATGATCATACTGTTGCGTCAGCGAGGTCACGTGACTAGTATCACGCCACTTCTTTCTCGAACCTTCGTGAATTGTCGGGAGATTACTAGATTGGGGTAGACTGGTATATATAAGAT